TTTATATAATCTACTACCTATGTTGCCATATTATTAATAAGTTGTGTTTTTTAACTAAAAACTAAAGAAAATTTCATTTTTTTTTCAAAAATTGCAAATTTTAAAGCTAAATCTTCACGATAAAAAATTATAATCGTGTTTCTCTTGGGTCAAAATACTACCCCTAAAAATATTTGCACTTATTTAAGACTCATCCCGTACAAAGGCATTTTTTTAATATATTTTTTAGACAGCTTGATCATAAGAAAAAAAAGGAGTAACATATTATATAAAAAATTTATTTTATATAGTGAAATTTACAGTAAGGGTGAAATAAAATATTGTTTGGTCTTTATTTTAAACCCGGTATATGAAGAATAGATCGCGCCGAAAACAGTTAGACAATTCAAAAACGAAAAAACAACACATTAATTTACATTACAATTAAATGAACAAATTTCGTATAAAAATATATAAAAATAACGATTGGTGAATTGCACCTACGTCACAGGGAGAGGGGGTTATAGCACCAGGACCTCATCTACACAGAGTGCTCCTATTCAGAGTCATAGTTGGTTCATTCCTAGTCGCGCTCGTTTGTTGTTTCGCATTTAAGGAATCGAAAAGGTACATTTTATTATTATTTTTTAATACCCTAATCCTTCCCCGGCTTTGCGTCTAGTTATAGAAAGCTTAACCTTAAAAAAATTCAAAAAATATGCTTTTTTATTTTTTTTAATTTTAATTTAACTTTCGGTGAAAGGGTTTTAAGTTAAACGAATAAGAACGGGCACAGTTTATTTTCTTTTGGCAATTTTTTCTTGTGACCTAGTGAAAATTTGAACTTGGAAAATCGAAGTTGGCTTACGTAATCGCGTTAGGACGCGGCATGGAAAATATATCTACCGGCTTTTCTTGGTTTATCCGGATGTTCCTTATTATGCAGAATAACCTAATGTAATTGGTCATTATTCAATAAAAACACGGGTGTTAACGTTTTACGAGTGATTCATAAGTTTGAATGTTTCGTCTTAATAAAAAAATTGCCACTTCTCCTTGCTTTTGTTTAATCTAAAGCGAAATAATCTCGATGATTTTTACTAATAATCCTTTTCGATATCGGTGAAATCGCGAATATTATCGGGTGCCTACGTGACAAGTTAATAATTTTAAAAGTATCGAATAACAAAAAATAACTAGTTCCAGTGGAATCAGCTGACCGCAAAATTGCAACAGCCGTACCACTAACTCATCGATTTTAAATTATTTATTTCTACCTGTGTTTCTTTTTCAATAAGAAACCTTGCAACTAAATATCACCTTGATAATCCTTTTATTACACTTAACAGGATTATTACCCTTATATTATGATATAAAAACAAAATCAAAAATTCCGTAAAGCTATAAAGAAATTGATTTCAAACATTAAATAATATTTCATCACAAGATATTTCTAATAAACCAAACGTTAGGTTGTTTAAATTTTCTATTCAGTTCTATAAACAACGTTTTGGCAGTATGTAAATGATTTTTCTTATAAACAAGTTTTTTACACATTAGATATACTTTGCACCATCAATAAAATTAATAACTTCTCTGTTAAATAATGCAACAAACAAATCAATTTTCTTTTTATAAATACTTAATTGAAAAAGTTATTTTAAGATTTGTGTTACTGTAAGGGAGCTTCTTCAAATATACTTACTTATTTTTGGAAACATCGCTAGACATTTGAATTACCAGATAGAAGGTGAAGGAGGGCATTAGACATCTTCAAACTATTTATATATATTTTATAATTAGGTAGAACTTGTACAGTTCAACTTCTGTCTCTATACATGAGACTTAGAGTGTTTACAAGAAGTTTTCTCTTTAAATTCCTAACGTAAGTTTTGATTTTTAGATGTGTTTAAAAGTGAAATCTTTTTTCCAAATGCAATTGCTTAATGCATTGTGAATCTCGTGACAATCTAATGGCTGGTTTCAGAACCATTCGATTGTTAAGCGGAATAATTTATTTTGTTATTTCCTGCCCACAAAATGTTAACAGTACAGCAGGTATTAGTCATCGGTAATTAGAAAGGAACGTTCATAGGTATATGGTGGGATTTTTTAAGTATGTTTCATTTAAGAGAGATAATATCCAAACCCATTAACCCCATTATTGTGCATTTTTTATAATAATTTCACCTTGCCTGTTGTAATTTCAAAGTATATTTTTCTTAGATTTATTTTTTTATAATAATAGAATAAATATATTTTATTTTTTTCACTCTGTAGTAGCTATATATTACCGTCATATATTAAAGTCCTACAATAATATGCACCAGTAATGCAGCTAGAATTTTATTTTTCAATTGAGTTGTTTAAAATGTTTTTCATAGACTAATTTAAAGTTATATGCTTCATAAAACATCAGAACATTTTATTTGTATTCTGCAGTTGCAGTAAAAAAATACTCGTTTTGAAAAACCAGGACGATATTTTTGCAGGTAATGGTTTAAAAATAAAAAAAAATATAGGTAACTGTAAAATTCGTAGAAAATAAATACCGACACTTATAATTACGAAATTCTGAAGATAACTGGAAAATTGCATTTATATATTTATGATTTGGCAAATGCTTGGAAACTAAAATTTGCGGTATTGATTTTGCAACAGCTTGAATTTAATAAGGAACATTAAGGGTGATAAACCAGGGTGTACTAATAATTATTTTCGATCATTTGATCACTTTGTACGTGAAATGTTTTGATTAAAGCAATAATTCAGTTTTGAACTCTTCTAAACTTTGGCAAAAGCTTGAAAAGAAAATTAAATAATATTTCGAACTTACGTCATCATTGGCATGAGATTAGACGGCAATTTTTTATTTTTTTTGGCAGGAATTAGAGGATTTTTCAATAAAGATTAATTAAATTAAGTAATAAACCCTTTCACACCGTTTTTTTAAACAAAACCTTAATGTCATTTGTTTTATACCGATTTATACAGGGTGAATCTTAAATAAGTGCAAATATTTTCAGGGCTGGTAGATCTCAATAAAAGAAACATATTTTCTCTTTATGCCGTTTTTCAAATAAGTCCAAAATAACCGAGTTATTTTTAAATATTGAGAACCACTGGATCTTTTCTTGTTTTTCTTTCTTATAAATTTAATCTACTACGTATGTTGTCATATGTTTTTTAACTAAAAACTTTCCCAAAAAATTCTAAATTATTTGTTTTTCTCAAAAAAACTCATAATCGTGTTTCTGGGGTCGAAATATAAAAAAAGTAAAAATATTTGCACTTACTTAAGACTCATCCTGTATAGGAAATATTGAATCTTGTTAAATTTTAATTTACCTTTAAAAGAGAATATGCAATATATTTTTATGTTTAATTATTGAGGGGGAGATGTTTTTATTTATTTAAAAATTTATAACAGCATATATTAGAGAATTTACTAAGACATTTTCTAAAAAATACGCTAAAGTAAGTGCTGAAGGAATTCATTAACGGAGCTTTTATACATGGAACAATTTTTAGTATTGTTTATATATTATAATATTATGACAGCTAGTAGAATATGTAGATCTGTTTTAACATCACATGAAGAATGACATGGCAATAGAAATCAGTGTCAGTTCAATATACTTTTAAATACAAAATATGAGTCTGAAATAACTGAATAAGTCCTGTTAGGAAGACATATGGTCATCGTGAGTCAAGCAAATTTAAAAATCTTAATCGTTTTTAAAGATGAAATAGGAGATACACATCAAATACATACTTTTAAATGGAACATATGGACAAGAGTTACATATTTTATTCGTGTTTAAATAAATAATTCGTTTAGTTGAAGCTTTGGACATGTCATTTGTTTCATATTTCTGAGAAAAAATAACTGAGATGAAAGATGTCCATAAAATTGCAACTTAAATGTTGCAGTTTGCGAGAAAGCTGAATCTTTACGAGCGTCAAATTACGATCTGCTGACAAGCGAGATAAGCGTTTTATTAACGTAATTAAAAGCCTATAAGCCACTCCCACACTCCGCGGATCGGCGTTTCAACTCGAGGGTGGGGGTGAGGGTTCAGTTTCGAAAAAAAAACTAGAAACGCGAAAGGTCTGAGGGGTGAAAATGTGCAACCGGAGGGTGGACAAGCTAGGGAGGTGCATTTCGAAAAGGTGTCGATAGATAGATCGTTATTTCGATATACAGGGTGAGTCTTAAATAAGTGCAAACATTTTTAGGGGTAGTATATTTTGTACCCAGAAATACGTCTATGAAGTTTTTTCGCAAAAAAAATTGGAAGATTTTTTTTTAGTTTTTAGTTAAAGAACATAATGTTTTGATAAAATGGCGACTTAATTAGTACTGGCTTTGATAAAAGATACTGTAAACTTTGACAAATTTTTTTGTTAGAGTCTTCTATATAAGGATTTTTTTATTTTTTGTGATCTCTGTATGTATATAATTTTCATTATTCAGTTTTTTTGGTATGGCTGGTTATGTCTAAAGATGTGTCGTCAAAGTACTCTACCTCTACGCTATTTTTCTTTAAAAAGCCTGGTCCTGCATTTAAGAGATCTCTTGTTATGAACTTTAATGAACCTGTCAGGGTGTTTTTGGTCTAGCTTGCTCATGGAGTGTCGTTTAATTCTTTGAGCGTCTTTTTCTTTACCCACTCGCAAAGCCGATCTCTTTTTCAGTTTTTATGAAAATTGGTGCCCGTTCTGCCAAGACCACCTTTTGATACAAGGCCTGACGTTTACGCGTGACGTCATCGACAGAAGGCAGTAGACGCGACTCTAGATTAGGAATTTTGATTATAAACTTTTATTGTTCAAGAATTACGTAAGAAAGTCGTAAAGAATTTTTTTACGCTCCGTGGTGGGGGATTTCTTATCAGTTTGCCCCTCCCCGGTCATGCGTCTGCCGGGAGATTGGCGTGGTCGCGGATGGCATCGATATGTCGATGTATCGATAGTTTTTCAGCATTCCTAGACGAACTAGAGTGAAATTTCGCGTCGAACGACCGTGCCTGTCAGAGATACGCATTTCCATTGGCCAGAAACACGCGCTCAAATGCGTCTATCGATTTGTTGAGTACTGCGCCCCGTTTTCCTAAGCGCGGTTCAGTCAAACGAAAAGTCGAGTTCGTTACAGCAGCGGTGTCTTTGGACCCGAGGCGCCTTAGATTTTAGGGTGGCGTTCCGAACCCCATGCCCCAGAGCTGTTCCATCCACTTAGTTCTAGTAGTGTCGTTTCTGTGTCCGTTCATATAGCTAGGCGAATAAAATGGGCGGGTGTGCATCGAAGGAAAGTAGCGCCAAAGAACCGAAAAAAGACGACGATACTGGGTTTGTAATATTCCTGTTGATGTCTCATGCATGGGTCAATAGCACGATGTCGATGGGGTGCGCCTGGATTTCTGTGGAGCTTCTCTATATGTTGTGTTACCTGTCTCTTGGCTATCATACATTAAGTACGCAATGTTATACGTTAGATTTTTGCCTTTGTTTCATTTCTCCTCGACCTATCGGTGCGCTTCTGCATTTTTTTTTTATATACACCGGATCGCCGGTGAGATATATACAATTTTTTCTCCATAAATTCGCATGATTTAATTTAAACTAAATATAACCGGCACAAAAAGAAAAATAAATAATTACTATAGTAGCCAGCGGGGTAAACTTTTGTTATTTAGAATTTTTTTAGTTATTATAATGCACTGTTTTGTTTTGTTAATTATTTTGTGTAGTTGTGTATTATATATGTATAAAATTGTGTTTTTGTTTTCTAATTTACGTAGTTAATTAGTATAATTCTAGACCGGGGTATTTCAATGTTTGTCATAAAACCATTAATTAATAACCGTTGTTCTTTACCGTCAAGAGCCAATATTGACAAAGCAATTATCTTTGAAAGCTTTTGTCTGGGAAATCTATAACAGCAAATCAAAATATTCTTGACATTCCAGGATACTAGATAATGATTCCAATTATACTCAACTATTTTTGCCAATTAATTCAACATGTGATTTTAAAAATAGCATTGAAATTGAATTTGAAAGTTTAATTTATTTTTTAATTTTTCCATAATCAGAGTATTTTTCTGGCGAAAATACCAAAACCTTTTCAATAAACCTTGACAATACTAACACTACAGCATTATAGAACTAATAATTGAATTATGTTTAAAGAAAAGACACAATGGTTGACGCTGCAACCCTTGAAAAACTCGAAGCCGGCTACAACAAGCTTGCATCATCTGATTCCAAGTCCTTGTTGAAGAAATACCTCACCAAAGAAGTTTTCGATCAACTCAAAACTAAAAAGACCTCTTTTGGTTCAACCCTTTTGGACTGTATTCAATCTGGTGAGTTTTAAATCATATTTTTTAGATTATAAAATATTTTGCCATTGTTGGAATTCAGTTATAATTACATTGAGTTTTAACATCTTATTTAAAACATAATACTGCATCGTATTGGGCAGCTGTCAGGGTCGGCAGCTGCAAAAAATAAATTAAAGACATTTTTCTTGAATGAAATATATACATGGATATAAAAATGCATTGCGCAGGCATCTGCCCATATTGGCAAGGTGTGGCTATCGTTTCATTAATTATTCAAAAAGGGGACACTGAACATAAATAAAAGTACGATATATTGAATAGCCAGATCAGATATTATTTAGTTCTGTTTTTATTATATAATTAAGGAACAATTAGCACATTGGCAATCACCAGTTTATCTAATCATAATACTTATAATTACGTGTGAGGTCAGATAAAGTGTTTTTAAGTGTTTAAAGTGTTTTAAAATGCCCACGTAATAATTTACATATTCTAATTTGTTTTAATTATTTTAATATTTCTACCGACAAAATTATGAAACTTTTCTGTAGATTTTTATTATATTTTTTTGTTCTCTTTTAATAATAGTAAAAAGTATAATCAACTACATACCATAACAATTTAATCGGAACTTATGTTGTTCATGTTATTAGTTATTAGATTATGTTCTTTTTCAATGTTATCAAATTTGCTGGCTCAGGTATTTTCAAGTCAGATTAATAAACTCATATAAGCAGAATTCCATGTTGTGCATAAATGTTTCAGTTCTGAAAACACTAATTTATCGTATAAAATCGTAATATTTGGTTTGGTACTATTAGCCCATGAAGTATATTTTGAATTAGTGATGAGCAAAAGCTAGACCAAGATCACAGTTTGTTAATATTCGGTGCCAAGACCAAGACTCGCGCTTTGGTATTGATCTTGGTCTTGGTCTTGCAGATAAGAAGTGGTCTTGGTCTTGCTGCAAGACTCTTGCCGGTCTAGCACTTTTGTATTTATTTTGACAATAGATATTACAATTTAAATTTATATATTTAACTTTAAACAAAATGCGTACACATAAAGAACAAAGCAAAATGTTCTGCATCACTATTTCGAATCTAGTGTGCTTTTGTGCCTTAAAGCAGATTGTCTTTTTGAATGCGTATTATTTATATTGTTATTTTTATAGGTGTTGAAAATTTGGATTCCGGTATTGGTATCTACGCTCCCGATGCCGAAGCCTACTCCGTATTTGCTGCTCTCTTTGACCCCATCATCGAAGATTACCACAAAGGCTTCGGCAGGAACGACAAACACCCCCCTAAGAACTGGGGAGATGTCAGTGTTTTCGGCAACTTGGACCCCGCTGGCGAATTCGTCGTCTCCACCCGTGTCAGATGCGGCAGATCTCTCGAAGGATACCCCTTCAACCCTTGCTTGACCGAAGAACAGTACAAGGAAATGGAACAGAAAGTTTCGAGCACACTCTCCGGCCTCGAAGGCGAACTTAAGGGCACTTTCTACCCCCTTACCGGCATGAGCAAAGATGTCCAACAGAAACTCATCGACGACCACTTCTTGTTCAAGGAAGGCGACCGTTTCTTGCAGGCGGCTAACGCTTGCCGATTCTGGCCCAGCGGTCGTGGCATCTACCACAACGAAAACAAAACCTTCTTGGTGTGGTGTAACGAGGAAGACCATCTTCGTATCATCTCCATGCAAATGGGCGGTGACTTGGGTGAAGTCTACCGTCGTCTCGTAACCGCCGTCAATGAAATCGAGAAGCGGGTGCCCTTCTCCCACCACGACAGACTTGGCTTCCTCACCTTCTGCCCAACCAACTTGGGAACCACCGTGCGTGCCTCTGTGCACATCAAAGTACCCAAGCTGGCCGCCAACAAGGCCAAACTGGAAGAGGTGGCTGCCAAATACAACTTGCAAGTCCGTGGAACTCGCGGCGAACACACTGAAGCCGAAGGTGGCATTTATGATATTTCCAACAAGAGACGTATGGGTCTTACTGAATTCGATGCTGTAAAGGAGATGTACGATGGCATCGCTGAGCTCATCAAGATCGAAAAAGAATTGTAAACCCCATACATTCGTGATCATTACTTATAAGCAATGATAATATTATTTTTTAGTACTTTTCGTACGTATTATTTTTTTTGCTGTGGAGGGGAGAATGCTTATTGCAATCGAGCCTCTTTTAATAATTTAGTGTATTCAAGCTTTCTAGTCGACAAGATGATTTCAAAAGAGCATTAAATTATCAATCTGTCAACTAATATTTGTCAACTGTTATAATTTTTAGTTTATAAATAAATATAAGTATTATTTGAACTGCAAATTTATTACAAAACTAAGCGTTTAATAAAAGACGTCCAATAAACCGTTGTTTTATTATATCAAGCCCAATAAATTAATAAATTATCTCATAATCAATGACAATTTCAAATCAAACCTGGGCAATTTCAAATACTGGAGTGTCAGGGTATTAGTAGCTGCAGGTATTATCAGTTGTTAAACCAATAAAATGCTAAATTTTTTTAAGCCTTCCTTCTAAGCTGATTAATACAGTTATCAACTTAATACTTATTTATAATCATTCAATTAACTGATGAGAGACACAGTCAAAAATTATGGCATTAGTATGAAAATTCTGCGACATTAAGAACTAAAAAGCAAAAAAATAAATAAATATTTAATTTGATTGTGTTTGCATCCTTTGCAGCAGAGTGGTAAATGTGATGCTTTATTTCATAAAATATTTTGTGTAGTAAATAACCCCGCGGATCTAGTTTCAAAAAAATTGTAGATCCGGGGTTGATGGTAAAACATGATAAAGAAAGAGCATGATAAGTGAAGAAAGATCTGTCCAGGACTTATATACAGGATGAGTCTTAAATAAGTGCAAATATTTTCAGGGCTGGTAGATCTCGATAAAAGAAACATATTTTCTCCTTACCGTTTTTCAAATAAGTCCAAAATAACCGAGATATTTTCACTTTGAAAATTTCCAAAAATCATTTTATTTTGCTTAAATTTTGAGAACCACTGAAGTTTTCTTTCTTGTATTAATTTATTGTACTTTTTATCAAGAAATTATGTTTTTAACTAAAAAATAAAATTCAAAATATTTTCCAAAAAATTCCAAATTTTCAATTTTTCATCAGATTCAAAATTTTTCTTTCGCGAAAAAACTGATAATCGTGTTTCTGTAGTCGAAATATACTACTCCTAAAAATATTTGCAGTTATTTAAGACACACCCTCTGTTTATACCATAGGATCGAAATAAAAACGGCGTCCAGTTGGTTTTGAAATTACGCCATTTTTTAGATCGTATGGACTAATAAAATAATAATATAGACAGTCTCAAATGTGTGTGCGTCGGGAGTTTAGAATACAGAATATCATCCATCTAAAATGTAACGGAGAAGCTTGCTCCAGTTGCTCATAGATGTCGGAGCTGTTCGTGTACAGAGTGTTACATATCTAGAAAATCAATGACAAAACTTTGGACAAAATCTGACATAAATGTCATGTGTCAGAAATTTTCAAATCCCACTAATCGAAGGCTAGAATTAGAAAAGAACGTTAAGCGTTGTGAAGTTATAACTTTGAATCAAGTCCACAGGTATGTCCGAAACCGTTGATTATGATGATAGCTCAGATGAAGAGGTATGCTTTGGTGAGTACACTTTGAAAGAGGCTAAGCGAGATTTAAGAAAATATATTCCTCACATTCCAAATCGACGACATACCACATTGTAAGTATACAAAAAAAACATAATATACAAACTTTAAGACTAAGGGGTATTTAACACACCAACTAGCCTTTAAAACTACCATGTTTTATTTTGTACAATATTAATAGTTTAATTTGTTACTTGGACCTGACCTAGAACAGTTTTTTAATTGTTTTCAGTCTCCTTTTTGCATTTATTTATTTTATCTTTCGTATAATTTTTTTATAATGATTTTTAATAATTAAATTCTTTGTTTTAGCATTTGCTAGTTTACAAAAAAATAATACAATTATTACAAGTTTTTATTTGTGTATAATAAACTTAATAACTAAATTTTAAAAAATCATATTGAACAAAAAGTGTACCACAGTAACCACTGTTTAAATATTTTCATATTTTTAACAAAACTTTTAATAAGTACTTTATTATTATTAGATTTTTTTAACATTTTAGCTTAAAATCGATGAAGCCGAATACCTTAGCCAGTCCTGCAAAGGATGTCCAGCAACTAAGCACTTGTCTGAAAGAATGTCTTAATATATCCACAACTCCTTCAGATTATGTTACTGCCGATGAATCTGTATCCACTAACAAAGAAATTTCTAATGGTAATTTTCTGAAGGAACTTGAAAGAATAATAAATGAACCTTGCTCAAAAGAATCTTCTTATAATACTGCACATGATCACGTCACTACATCTAACTCTTTAACAGAAGAACTCCATAATACAAATACGGATTTGGAATGCTTTCAAGATGCAACAAGCAATTTAGATAAAATTCAACTAACTTTAGTTGAAAATACAATAAGCCCTGAGAACGATTCTAATTTGGATACAAGCACTGTTTCTATTAGTTCAGGTGACCCTAATGACAGCATTATTGTGTTAAGTGACGATAGCATAACTGATGTGCCGTTGGATATTAAACAGGAGAGATATGAAAGAAACTCAGCTCTTTCCTGTGGTAGTTATAGAGAGCATTCCAGTTTCGAAGATAATGGAATAGATCATACAAAATCTTTATATGATGAAAATGAAGATAGTGAAGCTTTTCAAAGTGAGGATAATATTGGCAGCTCAGGTAAAGAGACCAATAATTTATTATCAAATATTCATTTGTCAACATATACATCAGCAAGCAATAAAAATAATTATAACTGGAATGAGCTGAGTAAAATTTCAGAAAAGGAGAGATATGAAAGAAACACAAGTCTTTCCCGTGGTAGTTATAGAGAGCATTCCAGTTCCGAAGATAATGGAATAGATCATACAAATTCTTTATATGAAGAAAATGAAGATAGTGAAGCTTTGGAAAGTGCGGATAATATTGGATGCTCAGTTAAAGAGACCAATTTATTATCAAATATTCATTTATTACCGTATACACCATCAAGGAATAAAAATAATTATAACTGGAATGTGCTGAGTAAAATTTCAGAAAAAACTGAGCAGCCAACGTTTGCCTCTATGCATCCTTTACAGGATTGCAGTTTATCAGGTTTACAAGAAATATCTTATTCAGAATCATCACAGGGTTCAAACGATTATAGCAACCTGCCAAATAAAACATCAAGCGATGAAGGGTGTGAAAGTTCCCAACATTTAAATGATTTTGAAATACCCGAAATAAATTTAGATCAATTCAATGATTCTACTAATTTTGATGATACTATGGAAGATATAAACAGGTTTTTAGCTGAAGCACTTGAAAAGGACAAAGAGAAGGAGAGGTGTAAGGAATTTTTGAGTGCAGAGAAAATAACTAAAATTCCAAAATTACAACTATCTGGGGCAAAAACTGTAACGAAATATAAACATTCAGCTGAAGATTTTAAGAAAATATCCCCTGCAGCGAAGAAACCCCTATTTTCAAGTGCTGGGGTAAAGCCAAAACCAAAAGATCTTTTTAAGGAGCCTACAAAACCAATTAAAAAAGCTCTTACGCCGATTAAATCCAAAAATATGTTTTTAAATGTTGTTAGCCCTGTAAGTGTCTATATTAATAATACACCAAAGTATTCTCCAGTTGTAAAGAACAGAACAACAGTAAAGAAAAATTATGAAATAGGAACGCCAGGATCTGCCAGAAAAGAGAATGTTCCCATTAAAGTGTGTTCCATAAATGATGAGATACCGCCAGTAATTTATAAGCCATCCAGTTATGTTAAAATGACAGAAGAGAAAGGCGTGAACTTGCCTGACAGCATTAAAAAGCTTATAAAAGTAACAACACTTACAAAACATGCTGAGAAAATAATTCAAGACCCCAATCAATCTATTGAAAGGAGACTGCTGGAGGATGACCTTTCAGTTGATAGTACTAATCACGATATTTCTGTGGTTATACAAAAACAGGCGTTTAAAATTAAAAAGTAATTTTCTTTTCAGTGTACATTTTTCATTTTAGAATAAATCGTGTTTGTAAGTTGTGAATTTACTGTACTGTGTGTTATTAGTATAAGTATTGTTTTTTTTTATATTATTTAACTGTCTGTCTGTTATTATTTTAATTATATCGGCTTTTTATAATGTATTTTAAAATAAAAGTCAAATCATTTACAATGTAAAATTAATTGTTTTTTAATTACATTATTCTTTAAGCTGTTTTAAAATAGCGAGTTTATTACCAAGTAACCTCTGTGATAATCTTCAACTTGGAATAAATTATCAAAAGACATCTGTTTTTGGCATATTTCTTTAGTGACTTTATTCCAAGTAAGAGAAAATCGCCCTGTATTATTTTGCAACAAAGGGGGAAATCAAACCAGCAAAGTATTCAATATCTTTTATTTGACATAGTAAATACATGTTTATAGCACAGCTGCTGAAAAGAACGACAGTTGGTTGTTAAGCACCAAAATTGGTATGTTCGGACATATTAAAATATAATAAATTTACAGTTTTTTAAGACACTAAATCCTCCCATCAGCAACCAGTCGTCAGACTACCTAACAAGGCCTCTTATCACAAGGTAGAACCAAATCTACCCATGGGACTCAAATTGATATGTTCATATTGTCATTCAATTATTAAAGCTAATTATCTACAATGAGTCTTGTACACTATGTCAGGTTTAATAGTGATGTAATAAACTAGGACTTATTGTATAGAGTAAAAATGGCAAAGATAAAATTAAAAAAAAACTGGTATTGCATTAAAGCTTCAAGAGTAAAACATATTGCCTATCGTATAAAAAGGTAAAACTATTGCATAAGTACCTGTGATGTCTTAACTGTTTAAAATGCGTGAAGTTTAAATGATATTAAAACTAGTGTTAACAAAATATAAAAATCTTATCTAAAGAAGGCAATGAGATAATAAGCATATACGGTTTATATAAACTGTACACTATGTTTTCTGAAATTAAGAAAAAATATGCGATATATAATATATAATATTTATAAAGCTTCTGTTTAAACATGTATTTATCTTTTTACAAAAATAAATAATAAATATAAAGATTTACAATATAAAATTCCAAAACTCACTTTTTTTCAGTATAAAGTAAAATTACAATGTAGGACAAGTAGCATTATCAGGAATTTAAAAAATGTTTACGTTCCTGTATATCATATTTTTGTTATGAATATCCGAGCAATGTTGCCTCCTAGAGAACATGAAAATACAGTAGTAAAACATTATCCAAATACTATTGTTAATAAAAAAGCAATATCAGACCTAGCTATAAAAATTTGAAAAAACTACATATCACATAAGATGTTTTCTTTTATCATATAACAAATTTTTCAAAGGCCCAGCACCTACACAACCAATGGCACAAATGCATGTAATACTCACAGCCAAACTTACAAAATTTCAAATACTGACTTTACAAAAAGACTTACCACTATTATTTTAAAAATGTATTTGCTTGAATGGTGTATGTAGGTGCTTTAAGACAAAAAAACACTGCATATTATACACAACTGTAAAATGTTAGTCTGTTCAACAGTTACATTAGCTCTCTTTGAAAGAGATATTACATATTAAAAGTTAGAAAAAGTTAATATAAGTTTATACACATATTTACAGTAACAATTATAGCTTATCTCCCTAGCAGTTGTATCATCCACCCCAAACGCTGGCAGATTAGTTCAAAAATTTTCGACATCTTCTCGCACCACAAGTGCATGGAATTTTGTCTTCTTCAAATGGAAATTTGTAGTCGTATGTCAATTCTTCGCCGCTTAAAATTCTTCTTAAAGCAAATATTATTATATGCTTGTGTCCCAGAATTTCCACAACTTTTGAGTAGCAGTTTGGCTAAAGAAAACAATATTCATGTCAAAATGGCAAACAAAGCAAAACCTATCATTCTAGGTTATTAATAAAGGACAACATCACACTTACATCACAAGAGTGATTAATAAATCTAGCTGCGTTGCCTTTCATTGTTGCATCCACAACAAAATTGTCATCCACTCTAAACATATAGCATCCGATCCCTTTAGAATTGTAGAATTTTTCTCTCTTATCTGTTAAAATTGATCTTATGACCTGGAAGAAAGAAATATATAATTCAGTAAGGCACCGCATCAAACCATATAACAATAAGCTAACCTCTCCAGCATATTCAATGACCATTTCACCAGATTCAATATCCCTTAAACAGAACAGCCCTTTCCCATGTATCTTCGACCGGTATACCCCGACAGACCATTTTGAAGTTTGCTTTAAGTTCCTAAATTTCATAGCCATAGGAAAACTGTTGACTCTCCTAAAAACGATTAAATATAACAAACGTATTGCGGTATTTGTTTTATACGTACCTGGATTGAACTATCTGAGAATCCAATGACATGGAAGGTCTTCTGTGTTTTGAAGAAAGCCAGCTAAACATGTCGTTGGGCTCTGTATTTCTCTGTTTGTGAGGTTGGCATCTGATGGCACCTAATCCATGAGCAGATGCATCTAATGAGTCAAGGGGATGAGGTGTGAAGTTGAATAAAGTCTTGTACTTCATACACTTTGAAGCTCCAGGAAGCTGTTCTACGAGGTACTTAACGTGGTTAGATTTCAGTCCAATTAACTGGACAGATTTTAATTGTTTGCCTTCAGTTGGTAACGGAGGCATGTTATGTGTTGCCCTAGCGTGTTGTACAGCTTCCCAAACTTTAGACCAACAGTCCGATATTGACGTAGATGAGTATTTAAACCCTTGTTTGTTTTCTACCGTGTAAAGTATCGAAGGAGCTCCATAAGAGCTTGACTCCTTTTTAGGCGGTTTAGGAATGGGATCTGTGATAACTTCTAAGGGTAGCTTCTCAATTATTTTCTCCTTTTCTTCACCTTTTATGTGCTGTTCTTGTTTAGGCATTGGGGCAATTACAACTGGTGGCTTTGTGATATTAGAAGGTTGTGGCTGAATACAATTATCGCTTGGTCGTATGTTAAATTCTGAAATAACAATTGTTTGTTCATTGGTCTTATTCATTTTTACATTAACGCCTTCTTTGATCTTATCAAAATCTTCAAGTTTCGGCATATCTAAGGATTGTGATTGTTTCACTTCAATAGATTTTGTTTGTACAGTCTCTTGCTTTGCGCTCATATCAATTTCTTTATTGGTTGTTAAAGGACTGTTAGTCTGCAAGCGGTCTAAAATTTGATGTTTCTGAACAGTTACCCCAGAGCAGTTCTTTCTAAAGTGATTGTCTAATTGTTTGGGCGTGTTCAAACTAAACTGGCGTTCTAAGATTTCTAATTTTTTCAATCTGCTCTCAGTCACGGTGTTATGTACAGCTTTAGGTTTAATTTTTAAAGGTCGTGGCTCTGGATCAATATTTTTTACTGGGTTCTGTAAATGTAAAGTATCAAAGCTTTTCAAACGATTTTCTAAAGTATCCAGGTTTTTCAAGGCATCAAATTTCATGAATTTCTCATTCTCCAGCATAGCAAATGATTTAATTGGTTCTTCAAACATATCTATTTTTACTTTCTCTATTTCCTTCAGAGGTTCATATCGCGATAATTCAGGAATTTTTTCGATAGGCTCGAATTCTTTGAACGATTTTTCTTCTACTTTAAATATCTGTTGTTTCGTCTCAGGATTAGAAACTGGCCGACTTTTGATGATCTTATAGTCCAATATTTCAAATTTTCTGTTTCTAGATTTCGGACTATCAACAACTTTGATGACGTCTTTTGTAAAGATAAACTTATTCTCCTCCATTTTAGTTTGTAGTGGTTTCTCGGCTTCTGGGAATATTTTTGAGACGTCGGCAACTTTCTTGGACGTTTTAATAGAACTTGTAGGCATAGGTAAAACCCTGCTCATGGGCCTGGCATGTGAAGTGGGCGGTTTGGGAATTGGAGGGACAATGTTCATAGGAATGTTTTGGTCTGATAAGAATGGCGTTGTAGGTAAGCTGATGCAATTTTGAGGAGCTGCAGCGATCGGCTTTTGCGTTGTGGACGGTTGAGAATAAATAATTGTAGGAGTTTGTGATGTCACTACAGTGGCCGGTTGACTTTGCTGATACTGTTGCGGTATTTCGAGTTGACTAGGATTGACTAATACAAAACTGTTGGATGAAACATCAAGAACTGGCTCTAGTTTGCTGGTTTGGAAGACTTGGGTAGTGGTGCTGTAGCTGCTGTTGGCAGCGAGAACACCAGGAACAGGTGTAGGAAGAAATTGTTGACTCTGCATAACAGTGTTTTGAACGATCGTCTCAAACCCGTAATAGATCTGTGGTTGGGGCTGTTGAGCCCATCCAAATGTACCACTACTGTCTAATACTAACTGTTGGGGTTGCTGAACAATCATTGTAGTAGGCTGTAAACTAGGTAAAATGCCAATGACGTTGCCATCCGATCTAATTTGTAGTAGCTGCGTTTGCGGTTGAACTTGTGGGGCAATCTGCACATATTGAACACTCTGATTGGTTTGTGGCTGGCCAAATGCGTCGACAAACGGCACAAAGCCTGATGCAGGCGCTGGCTGAATCGGTTGTAAGACTACAGGCTCTCTTCGCGCTGGCTGTTGTCTCTGAACCAGGACTTGTTGGACTTGCTGTAAAGTCATAGGCTGCGTCTGCGTTTGTTGCACTTGTTGGACCTGTTGATATTCTATAGATGGCTGTACAATCTGTGGAGTGATGGATGGGCCTACACATAGAGGAACTGGTATAGAAATAGTTGGGGTAGATTGCGGTTCTGCTATTGTGATGGTAGGCTGGACAGTAACTGGTTGCTGTGTTTGTGTTGCCTCTGGCATAACATTTACAACAGAGGTATGCATTTGACTTTGATATGATTCATATGCTTGTATGAGGACAGGTTGTGTAGGCTCATTTACCTGAACAGTAACTTCTATAGGTTGTGTATTAGATACTATAATTTCATCATTCATGTGAGTGATTGCCTCCTGTTCTGGTATATTTTCAGAGTCACTCTCACTTGTGCAAAGTACCTCACATGTGTCTAGGTGCCTTTTGTAACTTGCCTGGGTGCGATAAGTGCATTGACATTTTTCACAAGTGACTGGTTCTTCTGATATACCCCAAGGATTTATTGAATTAGTTTCTACTGGAGATCCACATTCACTGGAACTGCTATCATCAAATGTTCCATCCACTTGAAGTAATAGCATATTACTAGGAGATTCTTTAGTTAGCTTTCTCTTCTTTGTTACAGGAGGAAGAGCACTATCTAATTTATAACTTAACGTAAGGCTTAGAGGTGGTATTCTTGGTTTAACGCCTGGATCAGACTTTGTTCTGATTAATTCTCTACCGGTATACTTAAAATCTGTGGTTTCCACTGTTGAATCGTCATCTTCAGGTTTTCTCAACGACTCTGCTATGCTTTCAGTGTTACTATTATCTAGATTAAGCATATCTTCATAACTAAAATTAGGAAAAATGTCTTGTACTGAAATACCATCCAAAATATCATGAGGCAGGTCTTCTAAAATTGTATCAGTAAGTTCAGGAGATAAAAGTTCTGCTCCATTCTTTTCTTCCTCATCTTCCGAGTCTATTTCATCTGATCTTTTTTCATACACTCTTTGCCAGTCACTGATATCTCTAAGAGCTTTATCAACTAAATTCTTTTCTAATGTGTGGTCAACAGTAAAATTTTTATCAACGGTCAACGTCGTGCAATTTGGATTAAGAACAGATGTCTTAATAGAATAAGTAATCAGTCCCCATGGTTCAATAGTTGACCAGAAAACGCGATAACATATAAATCCAGTAGGAATAATAGCATCTGTGGTATCTGAAATAAATGGTTCTATTTTTCCTAAATTTGTAATACTCAAAGAACCAACAGCACAATTGACATCTTCAGGTTCAGATCTAATGTTTTCTTTGGGGTATTGTTCCACAAAAAGACACTTATTTAATTCAAAATCTTCGTCAGATTTTAAAACGTAATGTGAATCCTCTGGAGAGTGTTTAGGACAATAACAAGATTTATTAACAGCTTGAAAAGTGAAATTTGCTTTTCTTGCACACATAAAATGGTAGCTTTCATTTCTGCAAGTGTAGCACTGCAAACTAGCTCCCATTTTGTCACATAAAGAACATTTTTCTGATTTACCTTTCGCTATAGTGTCTGTAACATTTTGCAAATGATTGTCTAGTTCTTCATAAACGTTTATGGACCAGTATGCACAATTGCCATGAATCCAAACATTACTACCACAATATAATAGTCTAGATTCATTATAATCTAACTGATCTCCTATATTTTGACAAAGAGCACAAGTTCTGTTATCTGTATCTTTATTAGGCAATGCAGGGTATTTTATTAAATTACTTCTGTGTTTTAAACGGATGTGACAATATGGAACCTGTGCTATGTCTTCAGCTGCCTCATGCACTTGAGAAAACCAAGGGAAAACATTTTGAAAAATATTCTTATAAATCACAAGTATTTGTTCCGAATGAAATGTTTTTAAAGCTACTTTCATATCGTTGTTGAACTTTTTTACAGAGTTATATTCACACAGCCTATTTTTAATGTCTATAAGAGTATTAATAGTTGAGTTAGTTTCTTTTTGAATTTTTTCACTTTCCTCAAATGAGTAAATTTTATCAATATCTTTGTTACAATTGTTGTTATCTATATCTAAGACATTAGTCAATAAATGCCTTCTAAACTGACTTCCTCTAAGCCCCGCTCTTTTCAGCATACTTCTAGCAGATTTATTCTTAATTAGCAACCTCAGAATTTGATTAAAATTATGATATAATTCGTTTTGTACAGACCCATACCAAGTAGGTGGTGAGCCGTTTAAGCACTGACTGCATGTAAAATTTGTAGAAACTGGCAACAATTTTAAAATATCATACTGCTCACTAGTCAGCTTCTCACATTCTGAATGAACCCATTGCTTACACTTTGAACATTCCAACATCTAAATAGAGAAATAAATGTTTACAATATTAATAAATAGCATTTACATGAATTTTAAGCAAAATCTTAAACATAAAATTTATTGGACAATTAAAATTGACTGATACATATTGTATGATTGATTTAATTTATTTATATTAAATATATGTACGTGTACTGGATCTGTATCTACAAAAGGAATCTCAAGCGAGTTTCCCCCTTACAGATGAAGGGATCGACATACTGTATCCAAACGCATCCCAGCAAAAACTTAACATTACTAATACATACATTAAACACAGTTGTGATATGCTTACCTTAGAAGTCATACTTTCTTCGAAGGAATGCTGGCAAATAGGACAGTACATTCCTACTTTTCTCTTATTTATACAGTTAAGACAAAGTGGCATATTGGCTGGAAAACTTGACATATTATAAGCGGTGGCTGTTCCACAATCCTGACATTTTCTACATTCGTTACAAACCTGAAGAAAAATATTTATAAATAAATATTTACTATACTATGTAAAAAGGCAACAAAAACAGAAATACTAACCATTTTAGAATAACTAGAATCTTCCTTACTACTAAAACAATCATTATGATAGATTTTAAGGCATTTAGGGCAACTAACTTTACTTCTGTCGAAACCTTTACATTGCTGGCACGGAATACATCTTATGCACATCCAGTTTTCATTCGAACTAATACGAATGCCAAAACTTTCTATACAAAAAGAATGGTATGGTTCACAACAAACTGAACATATTAGCATATGTTGAAGTCCAGCACTACCACAAAGAAAACAAATGGCACCAGCAGAAGTTTTCTGTGATGTAACAACAGAAAATCCATATTTATACCGATTTTCAAAATTTAGTTCTTGAGAGTAATCTAATAATATTCCTGTGGCAATTTGAGGTTCCTCTATGGTTGGTGTAATACTAACCTAGTGTACAAAAGAAGATTATTAATAAGAAATATACACAAAAAAAAAGAATTACCTCTTTAGTTATCATAATTGGAGAACATTTAGATCTTTCCTTTTTCGGTAAAATATTTTTCTCTGAGAAACTTTTACAACTATTACTACTATTCGATATTAGTTCTTCATCAGTTCCACTGGGAGAATCAATTTTAAATGGATCACTAATTTTTACAATGTCACTAACAATACACTTTTCACTAATACTTTCTTGCAAGTCACTAGTAATTTTCTTTTCATTACTATCATTTATAAATGTAGCTAAGGGCTGCCCAAGAACAATAGAAGCACTTCTGCAGACATGTTTAACTCTTGGACCCTTTAAGTCTATTTTCTGTCTTTTAACGTCAGAAGCTACAAGTGGTATACTAACTGGAGGCTTTTGTGGAGGTTTAAACCTTATAGGCCGTTGTTTAACAATTACTTCCGGACTCTTAATGGGACTTTCTACATTTTTTTGCCACAAAATAGGTGGTAAGCTGTTATTAAATGAAAAGTCAAATCCCCTCATATTCTTTGGAAGTAACTGTGTGAGATTCTGCTTCAAAGTTAGAGGTAAATGATATGACTTTATACACATCTTAAGCCAACAGGCTGGGCATCTTGATCTAAAGGCACACTTTGCTATTTTCCAATGTTGACTACGGACTACAGGAGGTACATAGCAAGTTCCCTGTCCCATTTGACATGGTAATATATTCGAACTTCTTGAACCAACATTCTGACGCTTAATTTGTTTTGATATAAATTTTCTACAAGATTCACAACTATAAATATTAAACTTTCTGGCCTGTTTGACAAAGCGGTAATAACGAACTGCACCACAAACACCACATATTATTGTGCCAGGTCCATTATGAAGCTTTGTTGAAAATGGAATTTGTGTCCCCACTTGATTTGGCAATTTTAAACGTGCCTGACGTAATATGACCCTATGTCCATTAGAAAATGCCATTATGTCTTTTGTCTCATTAGTTGGTTCATCCTTCTCTTCGCATTGCTTAAGGGATCTCTTACTGAGTACTTTTTTCTTCACATTAATACTTTCATTAAGATCAATAAAACGTTTATTTGGTTTGATTACTCTTGATGAATGCACACTTCTTGAAGGTAAGATAAATTTGCCTGCAAAGTTTGGTGTATCCTTGCGAATCAGGTTTTTTGTTAAATTATTTCTAGTTGGCCTGTTTGACTTCAAAGGAGTTTTATTTCGAATTTTCGATATAAAGTTTCTTTGCCGACCGTTCTTACGTAAAGATGTACTAAGTTTCCTTGTTATTTGTTCTCTAAGGGGCTTTGACTTCTCTGTTTGAGCCGTACTTTCACCTTCATTTTCTGAGAGATCTTCATCCTAAAATTTAAAGTAAAATTAATTATGTAATTCTACATATAATCGTACATAATTGTTGCTATACGTAAACATATTTAACCTACTGGATATAGGTAAAAACATTAAATGTTTACCTGTTTATTTTCATTAGAACTTCCAATAACTGTCACTGAAGAACTATCGCTTCCATGAGTTAGTTCTCCTGTAGGAGGAAGCACATTTACCCTTTTTCTATGGCAGTGTTTTGAAGGCTTCCCTGGAAACTTGCTTCGCCCCATATTTTAAACAAATTTTAGTTTACATTTTATGAAAAAAAACATTTGTAGTAAGGCATCACGCATCCAGTCCAAGAACAACAAAATTGGAAATATCGGTAACTGCGTAAACTACATTACCGACAACGCTACTGGCACCGGAACGTGCCGTAACTTTGACAGAATAACTGTCTGTATTTGTGGTCGCTATCTAAATTAATATCGGTATTTTTATTTTAAATAAACTTATTCTATCTCTGGTTTGAAAATAAAACCTTAAATTTGTCCTTTATTTTTCTTAAATTGCTATAAATTAGCTTACTAAAATTTATATCTACTTTATTTGATTTGCAGATTCCTGTAACAGTGTGTTCGCATCGCATCTGTCAAAATCATGAAATTTGAAACAAATAAACTTGCTAAAAAGTATTTCTTTACATTGTTTAATGTTAAATTCCTATTTATTTTATAAAATTAATGGTGGTAAGTCTTAAATATGTCTCATATATTAGTTTTATTTGTGCTTGACATTTATTATGCCTTTAAACACCTTAAATGACAATTTGGCGAACGTAAATATATAAGCATAGAACTAGCAATTCTTTTATTATAATAATTATGTACAGTTAAGTAGCTAATTAAGCAACTAATTAAATAATTATAATTAATTATGTTAGTGTATAAGTGTATAATTTTAATTATTAATTTTGGGGATGGGAGGGCTAAGCTTCTCTAGTCCTCCTGTAGTTGCGCCCCTAGTTGTACCATTGGAAAGGGATTTCAAAGCCATGTTTATTAAAATCGAATATGTAATAATTATTCCTTTAAAAATCTATTTATTTTAAATAAATATAACAGTTGAATAAAATATACTAATTAATATGACTTATATTATATTTTTTAAAAATTACCATGTAATAAATATAAACACAGATATAATATTCTGTTAACTTATTTGATGTGTATTTACTTGTTTATTTAATTTTCAAAGGTATATTTGGAAATAAAAATATTTAATTTCTATTATGATGTTTTACAGTTAGTGATATGTGATACACTTATTTGTAATATCTTATATATATATATATATATATATATATATATATATATATATATATATATATATATATATATATATATATATATATATATATATATATATATATATATATATATATATATATATATATATACATATATATATCTGTTTAATTCTGAATTATTCAACTAAACGTTACAATATTTGTTGTTTTCTAATTTAAATTTTTTGTTTTAGAAATCTGTACACTAATTCCTGAGACATAATTTAGACACAGAGCCATTGAAGAAAAGAAGCAACCTTTTACAAGACTAAAAAAATGGTAAGTAATAAGTTTTAAACAACGAGCCAGGGAAAATTGAAAATGTTCACAAATTAACAGAAAATATAATTTATCTGTGAATTAAAATGACAGACACAACTATCACTGTTGGACAGTCTCTCGATGGACAGACTGTAATATTTGTATCAAAATTCTCATCATATTTAGTTTATATTGTATGTGTTATTATTGTTTTTACTGTATGGCTTTTAGTTTGATATTTGATTCGTTATTGGTATGTATGTTTGATTCAGTAGCATTTTCGGGTAATTTCTGATTTCCAATAACAGCATGATAAACAGCAATGTATAGTGCATACTTTAGAGCAAGTATGCAAGTGAAAAAAAAGATGTATAACAAAATCTGTTTCGTCCATTGTGGGATGGTCTTGCCATGATGTTTTCTTCTAAAAATCCGTCGAATTCTTCTATAAACGGCAATGCGTGCTGGCAATGGTGGCTAAAAACATTAATTATTTTTCTTTAGCTCTTGTTTTTTACAAGTCATTAATTAATTTTATATAGAAAACATTTAAAAATAGCTATCGTCTTCATAATCAATAAATAAAACAATTAAGGAATTACAAAATGTCATAATCTTTGTTTTCGAAGCTTCGTTTTCAAGTTTTCAGAAGCACAAGCTACAGTAAATTAATACTTGAGTGAAATTAGAACTTTGTAACAACGAAGCTATCTATCTGTGCTATTAAATTTACTAAGCTTCATGTTTTTGAAATGTTGTCTTGTATATCTGTCAGCGGATTATAGAGTCTGTTTTAAATGCATTTTATTTTGGAAGATGAATTTCACAAATTTCAAATATACTTTAAATCTGTTATTTTATAATTTTTGTTCTAGGCAGTAACATTTTCAGGAGTTGTTGGGCTTAATATTTTAAAGAATTAGTAAAAAAAATTACCAGTATTCCTGTACTCAATTATAGATTGCAGATTTTCTGAATTAGTTTCAATAAGAAACGTTAAATACTTTACTTACTATAGTATTTATTTCCACTGTTGGTTCATTGTCGTAGAAATATCTCACTTCTGGGTTGTGGTTGAATTCAACTCTTCTGACATCCACGCGGTTTCCATTTTCAGTTATCAGATTATCTTCTTCAACATTTTCAGCCTCTGCGGGATCAACTATAACAGCCATACTTGTCTTTTATTTTCTGTCGAAATAGTGTGAATTCTAACAAAGACAACTGTCGAATATGACGATTCATACCTGCATTGCCAGTTTAATAACAGTAGATAAGAAAAAGCTCTAAAATAAATTGATTGCATTCCAGCTGCATTATAAGACACTTTTATTTGATAGATTCGCCGAAATCTACGTGCAAAATGCAAATTTTTTATTGCACTCTTCAGACAATAAGACATTAATGAAGAAACAAATAATTAGTTGTCGTAATTTGGATTAAATTGAAATTAAATTGGTTTTTGTCATTACTCTAGTTCTTTTATAGTAAATTTGGGTTACAGCCTAGTCATTTAGACAGCCAGTCGAGTTGAGAGTAATAATGTGGTACCCCTGATAGCATGTACCATCCATACATACATACATACATACTGCCATTATTCGCTGACGAGTATTCGACACGCATCAAAAGATGGTCACGCAAGGCGTTTTTTTTCACGAGCTTTTCTGTGACTGAAAAGCCCGATACGTGATGTTATTGTTTATATATTGATGATGTTATATTACTACCGCACTCCGGACATTCAAAAATCTCATTGCTTTGTTGCCTCTTTACTTTTTGGTTGTCGCAGTTAACTGAGTTTACAATTCTTCTCCATTGAGTTCTATTGTGAACTGCTTCTTCCTAATGATTCTGCATGTTAATCCCCTTTAAGTTTTCGTGGAAAATGTCGTTGTACCTTTTGAGTTGTCCACCTGGCCTCCTCTTACCGTCTACAAGCTCACCGTAGAGCAGAGATTTTGGTATGCGGTTTTCTTGCATTCTGCATACGTGACCAGCCCATCTTAAGCGGGATTTTGTAACCATGACTTCAATACTCTCGCAGTTAGCTTTTTCAAGGACCGATACGTTTGAGACATGATGGAACCACCGGATTCTTAAGAGTTGTCTAAGGTGTCTCTGTTGCAACTTGTTTAATGCCTTCATGTGTCGGCGGTACGGCACCCAGGTTTCGCTCCCATATAACATGGTGGGGATTATAATTGCTCGGTACACTGCCAGTTTCGTTTTTGTACTCTAGTCATGATTGTAGAAAGCCCTGTCTTTTAATTTCGAGAATGCTCTTGAGGCGCTCCTAATCCTGTGCTGAATTTCAGAGTCGATATTGGCCTTTTCCGAAATCAAACTGCCGAGGTAACTAAATTCCGCTACATATTCTAACAGTTCTTCTCCGATTTTTATAGCATTGTTATGATCTTCCGGGGGAGTGCCTATGATTTTGGTTTTGTCGATGTTTAGCTTCAGGCCGAAAGCCTCGTAGGCCGAGGTATATGTGTTCAACATTTCTTGTAATTGTTGTAACGTGTTTGCAACTAGAGCGCAGTCATCAGCGTATTGAAGTTCTGTGATGAATTATGTACGTGTTTTTGCCCTCAGTCTTTTTATGTTGAACAGACCGCCGTCATATCTGTATCTAATGGCCAATCCTCTCTCCTGCAGTTTGCTGTCCACTATAATGGAGAGCGCTGCCATGAATATGTTGAATAGGGGAGGCGCTAAGACACATCCCTGCCTAACTCCTGTATTTGTCAGGAAGGGATCGGTCAGTGATCCATGATGTGACACTCTTGACTGGTTGTTGTTATGGAGGCTTTTACACACTGTAAGAAATTTGTTGGGTACTCCGAACTTTTTCATAACTGCCTAAAGTGCATCTCTGTTCACAGAGTCGAAGGCTTTTGTTAGATCGATGAATGCAACATAAAGTTTAGACTGCTGCTCTTTTACTTTTTCCTGTAGTTGGCGGATGGAAAATATGGAGTCGACGGTGCCACGGTTGGTGCGAAAACCCGTTTGCGATTCTGGAAGGATTCACAAACACAATAGTGAAATTCCCCGGTAATTGAAGATTCCCCGCATCTGAAGACACGGATGATTTCTTACCACCTTCTGGTAGCGTAACCAGAAGGTGTTACATCAATTATTTATTCTTTATTTTTGCGAAAAAAAAGGCGAAAATAAGTTAAACAGAGCTTCTTACCACCTTCTGGTAGTAACCAGAGTGTGTTTAATTTATTTTTTCAAGTTCAACAGACGTACAGGGTCCGGCAATAGTGCGTTGGACATCTGTAGATTCTATAATAAAAAAACTTAGGAATTTTGTTTAAGTGCAAACCTAATGTACATATTTATTAGGATGTACACTACAGGATGGCTCAAAAAAGTGTGAGTGGATCGGGATTATTTTTTTAAACGGAACACCCTTTATTTTATTTTTTTTGTTAGATGTAGAATTAAAAAACCAACATATTTGTATTATTTCAAAATTTTTAAGGGTTCTGCGGATATTCGTAATATTATTATTATTACATATGTTTTTTTTTTCAACAGTATTTTTTTTATCAAAGCCTCCTAATGATTTTTGTCTGGTATTTTACCGTTGAAACGGCGATATGTATATGTAATAAAAACTCGAATATTTGCGAAACCGCTAAAATATTTAAAATACTCTAGGAGCAAAAATTGTTCATTTTTTAATTACTTTGTAGGGACCCTGTATATTTTTACACGTATACGTATAGGTCGGATTTACCAAGGAAGTTTCTTTTATTTCGGCTTGTATATTTTTATTCTGGAGGGATGTATTCCTGAAGCAACAATTTTAAAGCCTCTCCCATCTAATCTGCCGCTCGAATTTCTTGAATGATTTTTAAAACTCGGGCTAATCAATTAGCAATTATGTTTAAAGGCCATAATTCAGTGTCCCAGAAGGGAAAGAAGAGGATCAACCTCTAAATTTACGGTTAACACATTTGAAATCGATAAATTCTGCAGAGAACGAACTGAGACCTTATTGCGGATTTTTAAATTCCCAAATTATATTATTACTTTTTTTAGAAGAAAGAAAAACTCCTCTTAGAAAAGTACCTATTACTTTTAAACGACAGTTATATTAATTAAATCTATAATCAAGTTAAATTCATTTAATTTTTGAAGTGACACTTCTTTACGCGCGCTGGGAGTTTCAAGGCCGTGACACACGAGGTTGCGAGACGACACGCGAGACGAAAAGTGGTAAGGACGAGCGCTGGGAGTAAAAATTCGAGGCTGTCACACGAGCTAGCGAGACACAGCCTACGGTTTGGAAATACGTAGTGACGCGACGTGTTTTATTTTACCCGTATAAAGTTTGTTACACGCAAAAAACTATTTGTTACAAGCAAAAAACTATTGTTTACGCGTAAAAAATATTTTTTTAATTTATTACTTTTTTAACATTTCAACTACACTTTTTCAAATATGTCCTTCAAATCCTTCAATTTAATAGCTGTTGGTAAGAAGTTTAACTTCAAATATGCGGATATATGGCGCATATAACACCCTGTTCTATAGGAGATAGCAGGGCCATGTAAGTGAAATATTAAAAATGGTTCCAGCAAAAGTTTCCCAGTTATGACGGATGATGGCGCTGATCGTCAAAATTTTTGGACAGGGATTTTGCTTACCGACAATACGACGTGAGCTACGACCGGACCAGGACCAATCAGAATGATCAGTCTTTCTTGGACATTTGCCGCGGAAGTGTGTGTTAATTTCTGTTGTGATAAGTGTGGTTGTGTTTACAGTTTGATTTTTCGGTTTTGATATTATGTTAAAATTAATTTTGAAGTATTGTATCACCTGGTTTTATGTAATAGTATTTACTTTTTTTAGTTCTATGATCTGATATGTTATGATTTGTTAATGTTTGTTTAACAATGTTATACCAAAGAGGTTATATTTAATATACTTATCAATTTGCATAGCCTAACTTTTTATCAATAAACTTTGTAGATTTTCAGATTATTTAATTCCTTTTGTTTCCGTTTGTAATTTTATTTTTAAGACATATTATGTGATTGTTTCACATAATATGTTTTAAAAATAATTGCAAATAACGAAAAAAATAATTAAAATAAAAAGTGTATTTTACAATTCCCCCCGACCCCGCACCCCTTTGGCTAACCTATAATGTCAGCTATGTCGAGAGATGGCGTTACGAAAATGGAACCGATTTATTACAAGGAACTTGGGCTTCTTTTTCGTTAGTATATTCTGTGGGAGATAGACAAAAACTAATATCGGTGTCTGGAGCTCAATTTTTGTCAAAACATGTTGGTGAAAACCGCATATCGATATCTGTTACCGTTTCGGAGTTACGGGGTGTTTTTCAAAAATATGCATTTTTAACAAATCGCTGTAACTTTTTTGCTATGGAAAATTTTGTATTTTTATGAAAACATTTATCAAGCATCTTGTTACGTAGAATTTAATAGTTTAAGTATAATTTTTTTAAAATTAATAATTTAAGAATTATCAACAGAAAATTTGATTTTTTATATGGGACACCCTATATATTTTTAATTTATTGAAAAGAATTTAAAATTACCTTTCCAAAAATATAACACACTTGATATTTTGCTCGATTCCTCTTCGAGATATAGAGTATATAAAAATTCTTTAAATAAGTAGGCTTTGAACGGCACCGGCTGTAATGCAAAAAAATTCTAGCTGTGAGCATCAATTAAAACGAAAATAATATTCGCTATGAGACATGCAGAATTTTATTTTTTATAACAATTTAAAATATATTTAACCAACATCAACACATTTAAACTATATCTAATAACAATAAAAATAAATAGCAAACCAAGACATGAGATTTTGCTACAGGTGTTACCCTCTCATAACTGCTAAGTATTTCTAATTCTTGTCTAGATTATACGAAAGAATAAGGAACCTTTATTCTTCCGCAAATATATCCATGGGCACTAAGTCAGGAGGTCTCGATGGCCAACGGCTGAGATCTTGGTCAGCTATTCAATTATTCTTGAAATTGGCTGCAAAAATTTGCTGATAACTTCAGCGTTCAGAGGCGGTGCGTCGTAAACATGTTTTCGAGTTCCGTTAAGGGCATATCATCAATAAGGGGTCCAAAGCCTACTAGTTAAAAGGGGCCGACTTTTAAAAATTCTGTATTTCGAAGGGGATTATAACAAAATATCAAGT